AGCACATCCTCACAATGATAAACTGGTGTACCACATCTATTCGCATTCAACACAGCTACAGCAATGAAGGGAATAAGTCATATTGGATTCTACATTCTATTCCAAAGTGACAAGAAGCGGTTCTCAAATAATCACATAGTTTATGCAAGCTCGCCAAAATAACATTGGATATTGGATGATTGCCGTCTCTGGAACGCTTTACCGGCGGCCGTAACTACAGCTCCATCTGTGGAGACTTTTAAGCGGAAGTTGGACAATCATGCAGAAATGCATTGTTTGTGTCTCAATGGCTCATCCTCTTAAAATTTGAAACCACAGTGTCAATGGATAAGCATACAAGCTAAATCCCCACGACCCGTCCTGTCTTCTCCCACGGTACCGACTACTCTATCCTTTCTTTCTTTCTTCATTATTTCACCTTTATTATTTCACTTATCTCAACCTATATCATCTACACTACAACCTATTATTATTCTATTTTTATGACTACACCGAATGACCAACGGGTGTTAGGTCAAACTCCATTCACGGTAGCAGTTGAGTCCTAACATACTGCACACTACAAACCACAATCATGACCAATCCTCGCACCACTCCTCTTGGAGTCTACCAGAACTAAAGCAGTGGAGTGGCGGGATTTACTACGCATAAGTTCATCGAAGATCTGGAACCTCTACCTTACAATCAAGAAGCGAGCTCAAAGAAATCACTGGTTTATACTAGCTCGTAATCAGGATATTGGATATTGGAGTGATTACCGCGTCTTACGAAAATAATACCCAGTTGCACCAGATGAAACAAAACGGTCTTAAGGGGGATGACAAATGTGCGAGGACCGAACCTAAATCCACGGTCAGTCGATCAAACTGCGTTATCCTCTTTAATGTACCAGACTGTAGCAGTAGTCTGCTGGAAAACAGGGCCCTGTTTGATCAGGAACAGTGGTCCAACTTATGTAGCACACTGGGTCTGGACATCCAACCAGTAAAACTGTGCAGATTGTATAAGGGCACTGCTGCTCCTCAAGGCAAACCATCCCCACTGAGGGTAACACTAGGCTCTGCCGAAGATGCCGAAAAAGTTTTATTGACTTCCCAAGTCCTTTCTATAGGGAGGACCCGCAATATACGTGTTAGGCCAGATAGGCCATGGAAGGAAAGACAGATGGCGAGGGAGTCGCCAGAGCTTATTCCTTCTGCCTCCATGGTTGTTCACGGCATTCCTGAACTGGAAACTGGGAACGCTTGTGAGAAGCACTGTCACGATGTCCAGCAATGGAGATGGTTGGCATCCCAGATGGGTCTGGGAAGTTCAGGGGCTGTCTCTATTTTTAGACTGCCTCGACCCACTCACCTAATGTCAATTAACACCCCACATCTGTTAGCTGTTAAGTTTAGCTCCCGAGACCACTTGACTACTGCTCTCCAGAGATGGTACGAGACCAAAGACAAGGTCAGCAGACACATTCGCTGCTGCGAGAGCCGGCCTCGTACCCAAAGGAGAGAGCAAAACGTTGTCATAGAACATCCCCAACCCCTAGTCACAATACAGCGGTGCAGCACGGACGATGATAGCCAGTGCCATCCAAGTGCTCCGATTGAATCAGAAGAAAAAAACTCCAACAGGCCGGTTCCCGGGGAATCGGCCAACTAGTTCGTAGGATAACTCCTCAACCGACAGCCCACATCACGTCAACCACCCCCCAATACGGGGACGTGGTGAGACTGACTACCAGTTGCCTGTACAGTAATGTGAGAGGTCTAAGAGGCAAAATAGCTGAACTTAGATACCTACAATCACAGCTGAACTCCAAAATCATAATACTGACGGAAACCTGGCTAACCCCTACGGTGGCAGACAGCGAAGTCAGTATAAATGATATGGTCCTTGTCAGGCGAGATAGGGATCTGAAAGAAGGAGGTGGAGTCGCCATATACGTCGACAAACAGCTCAGATGTGTCCATGCAATCGACCCTCCCCTCATTGAGCTCCCTGACTCCATATGGTGCCATTTCACCGTTGGGTACTGTAAGTATCTAGTGGGCAGCATTTACAGATCACCTTCATGTGGAGCAGACCACAACCAGGTACTGCTGAATGCAATCTCAGCGACACATGACCTGGGTTATGATCAAATTGTCATAGCTGGAGACTTCAATGCCCCATCTCTTAACTTGATGACGGGATGTGCCCAGGACAGATTTGATCGAAATCTGCTGCATACCATCACGGAGGCCGGATTCACCGAAAATGTCAGAATGGATACTAGATGGGGCCCAGATGGGAAGTCTTCTAGACTGGATTACGTGCTCACTAGTGACCAGCTACTAGTGGAAAACGTTCAGATCACGACTCCCATAGGTAGTAGTGACCATGCGGTCATAACATTCGACATAGTCCTCCGCGAGCGTTTACAGTGGGACAATACACAGCCCTATCTGTGTTATAACAAAGCCAATTACACCGAAATGCGAAGACTTTTGTCTGAAGCAAATTGGCCAAAAAATTGGACAGAGCTTACAATAGAAGAACACTGGAGAGTGGTAAAGGAGATCATTCACCAGGCGATCTCAGACACTGTTCCTTTGGTCACACCTAAAGCTAGAAAGCAACGTTCATGGCTAAAAAGGGGGACACAACGCCTTCTACAGGCGAAGCGAAAAGCCTGGTTTGCGTGGCGAGTATCGCAGGGTCAACCCGAACATGAAGAGTACCTCGAACTCAGGAATCGGTGTAACATACGAGTCCGGAGTGATAGAAGGACATTTCAGAGAAACCTCGCCAATAAGCTTCTCGTGAACCCCAAAAGCCTATACAGGTTTATGTCTGAAAGAAAACCGACCAACCAGGGAGCTTGCAATATAGTGGGTTCTGATGGGAAATCTCTTACTAGTCTTGAAATGGCAGAGACATTCAGTCTAGCCTTTCACAGGCAACTGAACAGTAACGAGGATTTTACCCTCACAAAACATCAAGATTACAATGCAAGACCAACGTGCGAAAACCTGCTGGGTACATTTCAAATTACCCCGGCTATGGTACTCATAAAATTGGGAAAGTTGGCTTCGGGAAAGTCTGCAGGTTGCGACGACATAAGACCATCCGTCCTGAAGCAGTGTTCAGAAAGTCTCTGCCAACCCCTAAGTGATCTGTTTCAACACTCCTTTGATGTAGGGAAACTTCCATGTGAATGGAAACGAGCCATCCTATCCCCTATCTTCAAGGGTGGTGACCGGCAGAACGCGACCAGTTACAGACCAGTTGCGCTACTCCCAGTGATATCGAAGATATTCGAAAGTCTCATTGACGACCACATGAGAAAATACTTCGACGGGACTAACCTACTCCATGAAGCACAGCATGGTTTCAGGAAGGGAAGATCCTGTGTGACGAATCTTCTACTAGCTTGGAACGATTGGACACTATCCTGGGATGTAAAGGTACCAGTCCATGTGATCTTTCTCGACTTTGCGAAAGCATTCGACACAGTTCACCATGGTCTGCTCCTTCACAAAATAAGCAAAGCGGGTGTTTCTGGAGCACTTCTCGCATGGCTGGAAGATTATTTAGGCGAGAGAGAATTCTGCACCAAAGTCAACCGCATCCGATCATCCTGGCACACCTCGGCATCAGGGGTTCCTCAGGGTTCTATCTTAGGGCCGTTGATGTTTTTGATTTTTATCAATGACCTGCCCTGTCAACTGAATTGCTCTGCGCTTCTTTACGCTGACGACGTAAAGATTTGGAGAGCAATAAACTCATCGGAAGACTCCGACAGATTGCAGGCTGACCTGCAAACGCTGGGGGACTGGGCTCTGGCTAACGGAATGCCTTTCAACTTAAAGAAGTGCAAAGTAGTGCAACTTCATTCCGGCAGGTCACAGAGTGCAAATTACACCCTTGGTGGCCAGAACTTGAGTTGTGTGCCATCAGAACGCGATCTAGGCCTTATTTTAACAGAAAAGCTAGACACCAGTGTAAATTACACGAGGGACGTCGCCAAAGCTTACGGCACTTTACACTTTATGCATAGGCAACTGGGAGCTCTTACTCCTGAACTATTCCTAACGTTGTATACGACATACGTGAGGCCACTCCTTGAGGTGCATAATATCATTGCTCCTCCGCTACTCAAAAGGGATGCTAACATGCTAGAAAGTGTCCAGAGACGAGCGACAAAATGGGTGATCGGCCTCCGCAACAAATCATATGAGGAGGGACTGAAGAAATTAAGTCTTTTCACACTTAGTTACCGTAGTCACAGGGGAGACCTCATCACCGTCTATAAGATCCTAAATGACCAGGCCCATCCTAACAAGAGCATCCTGCCATTAAGTGATTATAGGCTTCCACGAGGTAACCCGCTAAGGATAGCACACCAGAGACCAAGGACTCGAGTGCGTTCACATTTCTTCTCGCTTCGAGTTTGCCGTCTCTGGAACGCTTTACCGGCGGCCGTAACTACAGCTCCATCTGTGGAGACTTTTAAGCGGAAGTTGGACAATCATGCAGAAATGCATTGTTTGTGTCTCAATGGCTCATCCTCTTAAAATTTGAAACCACAGTGTCAATGGATAAGCATACAAGCTAAATCCCCACGACCCGTCCTGTCTTCTCCCACTGTACCGGCTACTCTATCTTTCTTTCTTTATTATTTCACTTATCTCAACCTATATTATCTACACTACAACCTATTATTATCATTATCATTATTATTATTATTACTCTACTTTTATGACTATACCGAATGACTGACGGGTGTTAGGTCAAACTCCATTCACGGCAGCAGCTGAGTCCTAACATACTGCACACTACAAACCACAATCATGACCAATCCTCGCACCACTCCTCTTGGAGTCTACCAGAGCTAAAGCAGTGGAGTGGCGGGATTTACTACGCATAAGTTCACCGAAGATCTGGAACCTCTACCTTAAAATCAAGAAGCGAGCTCAAAGAAATCACTGGTTTATACTAGCTCGTAATCAGGATATTGGATATTGGAAAATGTCGCTAATATTGCGTATGTGACGGACTGAAGTCGTTCTCGTCCTTCTTAGTGCCCATTTCGAATTTCCGCATCTTTTTATCATTTTTTTATTAATATGTACATTGAGCGCCCTTATTGGCCAAGTTTAATTATAGCGACCAAAGCGGGAGGGCTCAGCAAGGATCTTACAAGTAGTTGATCTGATTAATCGGGATACCCTTTATTAGTTACTGTTACTTTTTGAAGATGGGATAGACTATTCAAAATGTTAAGTGGATGGTCTTCAAGCCTATTAGAAATTTTTTGGGACTGAGAATATTCGGCGACGTTAAAGTATCAAAGCCAAAGTCAAGGTTTTTCGAAGTTGACCTTCAAGAACGGATCAGACACAGGGGATGCAATGCAATGTCATTACAAATCAATTCATGCCTCGCTCTATGCACTTGGAGAGGGAAGATACAGTATTCTACTCATTTACTAGATACATTTTTCTTCAAATTTATACTGTTAGATAGGGTTATGACTTTTAAGATTTAGGTTTAGGATCTAGGATTGAAGTCAGGATTAGGGTTAAATTTAAAGTTAGGATTTATGATTATGGTTAGATTTAGGAGTAGGTTACAGAATAGTGTCAGAAATATCAATGGATCTCAAATTACCACAACCCATAAGTCATGCTACAGTCACCTTTATGAATGTATATGTCGCTCATGGTATGATCTTTTTATAGACCACCTGTGTGGTGAGTGGGAGACATTCTTACAATACATAAGCCACATCTGTACAGAGTATTCTCAAATTTGCAATGTTTTTTAGTGTATTTTTCAACGATTATGCGACAATTCTGCATCTGAATTTTGGTTGGTTATTCAGGGTCACTGGGGTTTTGGCTATGATAGTTTAACTTTACCGAGAACGCCATGAAAACCTCCCGGAATACTTTAGTGTCTTAAGGGACCCTGGAGGCATTTCTCTCAAATTTTCACATTAGGTTGCAAAATTAAGTGTATGTGTATAATAGTAGTATGTTGTTATGCCTGATGGTTTGTCGTTCTGCGTATTTTTCCTGTTTTCTCTTCTAGATTACCATACTGCCTGAGTTAATTGACACCAGTTTTACAAGGTATTTTAACGACTGCACATTGCACAAGAGGCAGTCTGTTAGTGGACGGTTCATTGGTTTTAGTGGTTGGCCTTTCCTTTCTACACCGAAATTCAAGGATCATTAAAGTTAGTTAGCATTCTGTTTTTAATCATTTGTATACGTATCTGAATAAGATAATTATATGTCTGGTAACCATGTTTTGAACAGTACTGAACTTCTGAAGTCGGTAGTTTGTCTGAATCTTTTACCTGAACCTACTGAGTTTCAGTTCCTCATTTCTTATATTCAACAGTATAATGTAAAGCCAGAGTGCTAACCAAGCTTTCTTAGAAGCTAATATTTAAATCCTAGAAAGGCATTTCCTTCTACCACTTAAATAATTAGGCTGGTCTCATTGTAGTGAAAAGTACTTTAAAGTCTCGGAAACATCTGAAGTTCATCCTAACACTGCCTTGGCGGATATAACACACATTCCATTTGCGGTGATTTTTCAAATGTTTCTGACTCAGGTTAGGCTGCCCAGGGACTGGAAAGATGCTTTTATCAGCCCCATCTTCAAAGTTTGAAACAGACAGTTAATATCTCACTATCGGCCTATAAGTCTGACCTGCATTATAGCAAAGGGATCAGCTCTTAGCTAATATGGAGAAACATGGCTTACTGGCAGTGGAACAGCATGGATTCCGACACAGGACGATCCTACCTGACAAACTTACTGTTAGCTAGGGAAGATTGGGTCGAAGCCAGGGATAAGAACCATCTACTGGACGTTGTCTTTATCGATCTTAGTAAAGCATTCGATGAGGTATCCCATGTAGGTCTTCTTAGTAAACTCAAACGTTTTGGATTTGACCAACACTTATGTGAGTTGTTTAGCGATTACCTGATGGATAGAAGGTAAAGGTTAATGGTGTACTGTCAGGTTAGAAAGTAGTACTCAGTGGAGTACCCCAGGGAACTCTACTTGGCCTCCTGCTATTCCTATTATACGTAAATGAAGTGGCGAAAATTCTTACCTCATCTTCCTTATCATTTGAGGATGATATAAGGTTTTGGAAAACCGTAAACAGCAACGATGATAGGTTGGTACTACAAAACGATCTAGATAATTGAGGTGAATGAGCTAACCTTTGGATTCTGGAAATTAGCTCCAAGAACAGCACGGTAATGCACCTAGGTCGTCGCATTGAGAGCAGAAGACATGAAAAGATTAGTTTTCTTCGATCATAGGTGTCTGCGTTCTATCTCTCGCGTGAAGTGGTATGATAAGGTGAGCAATATTGAGGTTAGGCGTCGAGTGCTAGGTAAGGCGGGGAAATCAGTCGACGAAACGGTGAAATTACTTCGACTAAGATGGTTAGGACATGTGCTACGTATGCCTAGTCATCGCCTTCCTCGACGGGCAATGTTAGCTGATATAGGGCCAGGCTGGAAAAGAGCTAACGGCGGTCAAACGAAAACATGGCACCAATCAATGAAATCCAAAACAGTTAATCTAAGCTACGTAGGAAGATGTAGACTTCCTGGTTGGGGCCCTCGGGATGGTAAAAACCAATGGTTGGAAACAATTGGTGACATGGCTCAAAATCGTTCTCAGTGGCTAGCGCAGATGCATCCACTCCTTGTGACTTATGATTTCCAATTAAACTGTTTTGTTCTCCGTTATTACTATTCCTTTGTCTCACACCTCTGTTTACTGTCTATATTATGCATTTCTTCTACTTCCTTCTCTTGCTTTGCGTGCTACACAGATTGTGGCGACTTGAACTGCCGCACACATGTGCAAAGTTCTATGTCGAAAACCGACCGACCGAGGTCGTCGCACTCCCAAGGACACACTGTACTGCCATATATTAAGGGACAAAAGGACTTAAGAATTATTGTAAGCCATGACTTGAAAACAATGGCAAATTGTAATGGAGCCGCAGCTAAGACCTTTCGAATGCTATGGGTACTTCGAATGGATTTCAAACGATTAGACGAGGGTATGTTCCAAGTACTCTATGCAACATATGTCAGACCTCGTCTAGAATACTGCATACAAGTGGCGAGTCCATGCTCTAAAAAGGAGGCACATATCCTGGAAAGAGTACAGAGGGTAGGAACCAAACTAGAGAGATAAGAGAATGGAGAATCTAAATCTCTTCCCACTATCATACCGAAGGTGGAGAGGCAACTTAATTTTGGCTTACCGTAAATGAAAGGGTGATTTCGGGATTGACCTTTTAATCCAATTCTCTCCTTTTAGGATATATTTACGGGGTCACCACAAGGTGCTCAAACTGAGGCCGAACAAAATACGTGTGGAGTGTAGATTCTCTCACAGAGTATTCAACAACTGGAACTCCTTACCTGATTTGGTAGTAACAGCTCCATCGGTTAACGCTTTCAAAGAGAAACTAGATCTTTGCAGAGATATATATCGCAAGGATTAACATAGGCAATAAAAGCCTTCTATCCTTATAATCTGAATCTACTACAGGCCCAACCGACAAACATATATGTAAGTTATGATACACTCTTCGGTGTGTGCTACTACAACATTATTTTTATCTCATGAAAATGAAAACCCCTGTCTGCCAGTGGAAAATTTAAAGTTCGTTTCCACATATATTCACTCCAAAAGAAGTCCCGCCGTTAGTGCTCATTTGTTTCTTTAAATTCAACACAAAAGTTCAATTAGCCAATTCCATATTAGTAGTACACGACATTCCGCTTTTTCATGGAGAACTAGTTGTTCGTCCTTTTCGTAAACAACACATTAATAAGAATCATTAGTGTTGTAATATTTCATACCATTGATAACTCATTTTATTATTTAGTTCATTTTACAGAAGACTATCGTCTCCATTTGGTCATTGGAATGTAATGAATAGTGGCTGGCTAAAAAACTTAATCTATAGCTTCGCACAGACCAGTCACGTTTCGGTAAAGTGGTCAAAAAAAAACGACGGAAGAAGTATGTAACGGTACTATAAAGGAAAAAAGTTGTTCGGAAAAATAATGTGATGAAGACGAATCTGATGACATGAGGTAATTACATCTACCTGTGAATAATTTACAATCGCATCCCTTAAGGAATGACTGATACATCAAAGTATAACTGTGCTCGAAGATGAAGTACAAACCGCCACTCTAAGGAAAAGTATTGGAAGAAGCCAAAAAAGGGCTGTTGACTCAGATTCAGTGATAAAGAACAGTATACTCTTGTAAGATATGTTACTTTTGGAACTTATATTTCTTTAGAGATACAACTCCTCATAAATGGAGTCGATACCGATTGATCAAGTAAGGGGTTCTAGTTGTTGACCACTCTGTGTGAAAACATGAATTCCTCTTGTATTTTGTTCGACTCCATTTAAACAACCTCTTATGACGAGGTGACAGAGGTAGCTTTAAAAAAGAGGAAAGGTTAGAAACTTCAGTACCCAAACCATTTATTACAGCGTAAACCAAAATAAGTCGCATCCTCTTACGGATGTTAATGAAAAGAGGTTTGGATTTTCCATCCTCTTATAAATGATATGCGAAATACTTCTAACTATCCTGCTACCTACTAACTGTACTCTTACCAAGAATTCTAGCCCCTTGAAGCATGGGTCAACTGCCTGTATGCAGTATTCAGAATGGGCTTTGACTGACTGGTGCTTTCTGCGTGACCGCAGAGCCGAGGGTACAACTGCTTAAGGGCGGTTTTTAGAGTTGTGTCCGTTTTAGGACCACCGTACAGTAGGTCGGGATGTGAAATTTTCGGGTCGACCATTTCTAACCCCTGCTCTCCAAAGTAGAGAGGCAGCATAACTGGCATGCTGGAAATCTGAGGGTAACATCTTACTGCTGTTACATCCCTGTTCCCTAGCAGTACAACTTTTTCCACAGACCCCCAGCATAGTGTAAACATCTTATACTATACTACTTTTAGTCTAGTCGCATGGTGGGACCTCTGGGAACATTAGTTCTAACCAGTGTAGCTCGTTGGTCATTCCAATATGCAAGCTCGACCACCACTTCATGATAGCACCTATTAGTTGGTGTCTAACATATGCTCACAAGAGTACCTTAAACGTAATCTCATCTCAGCATTCAAAAGTCCTTCTAATTGTCCACAGTGTTCAGAAAGCCTTGGCTCCATCTGTTTTTAGGTCATGACTGGAAGTAACTCCCTGATTTCTTGTCCTTTAATTTTGGGTAACTCTGTTTTCCTCAGGAGGTACGTCGAATAAAATTTCTAGACTTGGCGCATCACCTCACTTCTTGGAATTGATTCCTAAACTCCACCGGTTGAACCATTTGTTTAGTTTGTCTGATTCATTTTGTAAGGTCAGGCTGTCGTCGTCATAATTACTTACAGTTCCCCAGGTCTTAGTATCGTCCGCAAATGCAGACAAAGATTTTCGGTAGTTTGTTAATGTACATTAAGAACAGTAATTGGTCTGAAATCGTGTCCTACTGCACCCTTACTGCGAGAATATGTCATTTACTTGCCTACCCGCTTGGCAGTCCCTAAACCAACCACGTAAGCTGTTAGCTAATCGGAACTCTTTCTGTCTACTGAGACCTAAATGAGGCACCTTACTGATTGCTTTACTAGAATCAATAAAAACTACATCAGTCAGCAGGTTACTATCCGTGGCTCCACATAATTTTTTCTTAGCCGTCAACGGATTCGTTAGGCAGGATTGCCCTGGTGTGAATCTGTGCTGTTCCTCTTCCATTAGGTCATGTTTCTCCACATGAGCTAGTATGCGCTCCTTAACAATTTTCTTTAACACCTTAGCGACAATATAATAATAATGATAGTAATAATGTATTCTCATTTTGTACATGAGGGACGCCAGTTTACAGGCATCATCAATATGATAAATTACATATACGATTAGTAAGCATATTTAATAATAGTAATTTAATAAAATACATTTTTTCCTACGTGTGTAGGACACACCAATTGTACAGGCATGGATAAGCATTATTTAAATTACATAAATTTGGTTCATGGTTAAATAATGTGGTTGCAGTCATTTTGTCTATGGGAACAATATGATAACTAGTCATTCAATGGAGCACATCAAGAAATATAGAAATATTGTCTTCGCATTAACAAAAAAAACCCACGTATGTTCTGGATGGATTACAAATACTTGGGAAAAAAAATAAAGCTTGAAGTAATTCCCCCATATAACTTTGGTGTGTACGGCATCGAGTCTTATTCTTGATTTATATCCAAATTTGATAATAATTTAAAATGGGCAATACACTTGTATACTTTTGTCAGCATTTTCATCGTAACATCACAAGTGAATAGTACTGAATGTAGACTAATAATAATGACAGTTTATATTTTCTTATAAACGGGTGTTTTCAAGAAATGCAAGCTATTTTTGCAGACACAATCAGTTATGTTGTAGGTTACAATCGTGAAGTATTATAAATCAATACTTTTTATTGGTATAAAGGTATATTTCACAACTGTAATCCAGGTTGCGTCGTGGGGAAATGTAATGCATAATTCACGAGGGAATTGTTAGATATGGGACCAATAATGTTTGCAGATCATCTGTCATTGTAAATGGTCAAATGTCCACATTCTTCATTCTCATTGAAAAAGTCAAATTGAAGCTAAAATGGTGAGACAAAAGAAGACAAACAACAGCAACGCAAAAGAAAGCAAGTGGAGTCCTTAAGGAGTGATCAATATGTATATATACATTTATATTCTGTTTAGTAACTATGGTTATTTTGGTGCATTAACTAACTAGTCCCGTGATGCTAACTTTTATATTGTGTGAACTAATATTATTGTCCTGTGTAAAAATGTCTATCATGTACTTCCAATAATATAAAGATTTATAATTGCAGTTTGTTGTAACTACACGTTTAATGAACTTAAAATATCTATGTAGGGTGAAAAAGAGGGTGTAAGAGTCAGACGCAGAAGTGAATTGTCATCTTTGAGCAGTCTGGTGACTGAGGAGATGAACACTGCGAGTGTTTGCATCGCGCACATCAGCTGGAAGTCTATTCCAAATGACTGAAAACTTATTTAAGAAGAAGTTATACTGCATTTAAGTCTGACAATGCTCTATAGCAGCTAGGTTGTGATGATTTCTAAGATTGTAACTGATGACAGCGGTAGGTTTAATTATTGGCTCGGAGGAGTGCACGAGCAGATTAGTTAGCTTGTAGTAAAAAATCAGGTTCCCCTTAAGACGTCTTTTCCAGAGTGGTTCTAAACTTAGTCTGTCGCAACGTTCATAGTATTCGAGACCACTTTCTAAACTAAGAGTTCTTATGGTGAATTGCCGTTGCACTCCCCTCAATTTAAGATTGTCATTTTGCCTGAGTCCGCTAAGAATAAACGGGCGGTATTCTAAAATAGGTCGGACACATACTTTATATAATAAAACCCTAGTTTCACAACAAAAGAAATTGCAAGTTATGCATCCTAGTAGCCTTCGTGTTTTACGTCTGGCATAATCAGTTTGTTCAGAGAACGTTAAGTTACTAGAGTATCTGATACCGAGATCTACGGCTGAGTTGAGCTTGGTTAGTTTACGCCCATTTATTTCAAGATTTAGGTCAAGGTTACTGTTACCGATACAAATCCAGCCGCATTTGTCAATGTTGAACTTTAGACAGGATTCAGCACACCACGTTGCGAGACTACTTAGTTCAAGATGTATTTTATTTACCATATCGCTTAATTCATGAGCGTAGCAGGAGTAAACGACTTTGAGGAATGATTTACCTGAGGTGAAGCAGTTGCAAATGCTGTTAATGTAGACCGTAAATAAAAGTGGACCTAGGACACTACCTTGCACAACCCCACTTGTGATCTGCCTAGGATGAGACAATACAGATCCAACCTTGGTTATTTGCACCCTGTTGCTTAGAAATGATTTTAACCAGTTCAGTAATGGATTGCGAATCCCACATGAATACAGCTTCTCAAAGATAATACTGTGAGATACCATGTCAAATGCCCTAGATATATCGAAGTAGAGAACAACAACTAGCTTACGTGCATCGCGACTACTAGTGATGCAGTTGAAAAAGTCGAAGTGGCAAGTTACGCAAGACCTATTTTTGAGAAATCCGTGTTGAGACCTTGTAACAAGATCTTCCCTAAGTAGATAGTCTGACAATTGATCTTTGACAACTTTCTCCATGATTCGCGAGACAACTGGGGTTATATTTATAGGTCTGTAATTGCGGACGTTTGCCTTATCACCGGATTTATAGTGTGGAATTATGAAGCCAGTTTTCCACTCATTAGGGTAAGTGCCAGTGTCCATAGATATTGAGAAGAATTTACGAAGTAATAGGGGTATATCACACCCACTGTTTTTGAAAATTATAGAAGCAGGGTCATCTGTTCGGAAATATGTTACAAACTGCATGTTCCCCTCTACGGAGATGGAGCCTACAACTGCATCTTTCAAGTCCTTGGATAGCCTAGTCTGAGACACAAACATGGTGAATATACCTGTTAATGGCAACTATGCAGCTGCCACTGAGAAGAATAAGAACTTAGTGTGGAACGTCGTAAGCCCTGGCGGCAGTCTTTGAGCCACAGCATTGTCTACTATGGTATAGAGAGTAACCTCGCAGAACTCTTGTGTATTACTGCCTGATATGAAAAAGTCGTAGAAGTATTTGAAAGGGTTTTCAGCTGCCGTAAATATATTTTTATCATTTTCGGTATACCACCATTTATTTAAGTTCTACTTTTTGTATGTGATCGGTCTTGTGGGGGCAATATGGGCAGTCCATCATGTTTCATATTCTATACGACTTTTGTTACATATGGACTTGCAAAGCTTCCGAACTCTGTGATAAAATTACAATCGAGGGGAATGTCATCAAGAGTCTAAGCTATGATTAGTAGAATCTTGAGGACCCAAGTTATAGTTTCTTTGTTGGCATATCAAACAAACATTGGAATTCGTTTACAAGACTAATTAGTCAATGATTGGAATTTTGCTTTGTCTGTCAGGGATGAGATAGTATAACAAACCCATTTGCATAATGCATAGATACATTCATGTTCGCCAGTGCACATTTATACATCATCTCTTTCGTTGACTGGTGATGCTAGTTGACATAGGATTGGGTTGGAAAAGAGCTAGTGGTAGTCAAGCAGTCAGTCAGTGAAATCCATAACAGTTAGTTTAAACCACGTAAGGAGGTATAGACTGACTGCCTACCTGAGTGGAGTCCTCGGGATGTTAAGAACGAATGGCTAGAGACTATTGGTGGTGATATGGTCCGAAATCCTCGTTCTCAATGGCGCAGAAGCGTTCACTCTTTCTGGTTTGTCACATCCAATAAAACTCCACCATTCTTCTATATTATTATTCCTTTTCCCTCATACTTCTGTTTATTATGTCTCCTTTGAACCTCTCTTTACACTCTCCTCTTGCTTTGTGTGGTACATGAAGGGAGTGTGGCAACTCGAACTGCTACACATCTATGCATGCTTCTACGTTGAAACCAGTCAGTCATTTATAAATCCTTTTGATTCTAGGAAGACGCAACTTAGTATGCTAGGTGGTAGTGTGTTTTAGTTGTAGTTTTGACGAGTAAGATTGAACTACTGAACTGAATTCTGAAGAGGTACGTCAACTGAATCTTCATTTGTGTAGGTTTTCATCCCGACAAACTATTTTCAGCCGGTAGTTTGGGTCCAGTGCGATTGTTCTTATTTTTCTTAAAGGTGTGTCAGTTGGTCAGCATATTTCTGTAGGCGATGAATCACACAGCTGTCTCAGGAGATCACAGGTGTAAGATAGTGCGATTCAGTTACTCAGATTGTTTAATGTATAAGGCTATAAACCTGACTTAATATGATGTGTTATGATGCAGATTTGATCACGAGCTGATATCAATTAGAGAACCATTTGAAGGAACATGAAGTACGGGACAGCTGTTTCGTCCTAGTTTGGGGATCTTCATGAGTATGCACCCACCTGGGTTTGAACCCCGGAACTTTTCAGTGGTTACTCGACGACGACTGGTAGCTGCTCCATATATCGCGAATTGGCAGAAGTTGGAATGCATAGGCCAGTGGATCATGTCCCAGTGGGTGAACGGTCTACGAGCTTGCCTTGTACCTGGGAGGTCCTGAGCTCGAACCTCGGTGGGCGTATACCGACGAGGAGTCCCAAACTAGGACGAAACATCTGTCCAGTACTTCGCGGTATTCTAGTGGTTCTCTAACTGATGTCAGCTCGTTACCAATCAAATCACTACAAACCAACGCCTGAGAATAATGACATGACGTAAATACTGAAGTGAAAGGCATAGTATTAAATAGGTAAACAATAATACAGACTAGCGTGTTAGTATTCTCTTGACAGTAATGCTACTAGTTAACTCATTATCGTGTAAAACGAATGGTGAGGTTTTTTCGACTGATAATACTTATTGTTAACATTTAGCACCTTCATATATCTAGCTGGATTACACATCTATCCAGAGTTACTCAATAGAAACGTAATGGCTGATAAAATCAATGGCTCTTGATAAATTTGTCGTCCTTTACGCGGCAAGATAAAAGGGCCGATGTTCCGTAGTTCCCTTTCTGTTCTTATCATTGTACTTCTTTTGGTTTTTTCTTATTAATAATTTCAAACAATGCTTAACAATGTACCAAAACTGAATTTCTTTTTCAGATCACCTTTCGGTATTAAATTCCTTTTGGATTATGAAAGTCCCTGAAAATTGTTCAGCCGATTGTCGTACTGTTATTGCTCCTGCAAATGTTCTTCTTGTTACAAGCATTTGTACCATTCTTGGAGGCATTGTTCTTGTCACGTTAGGCATTTGCTTCGGACTGACCAATGGTGGTCATAGTTCCCATTTATCTATATCGTATGTTGGCATTCCTATTATTCTCTCTGGTTGTGTCACCTTAGCAGTAGCTACTGTCAGAATTATCCATACAAATAAGGGACTCAACAGTATGAATCTGACATTATACGAATTTAAAAAACAGTGGAATCAAGAGGATTCCAGTTTTGAGTCTACATCCTTCAACGTTCAAGAAGGTGCTTACAATTCATTCTCTTCATCGGTGTGTACACCTGCGAATAAATTCGATTCTGCTTCATTGAATGATGGTGATGAAGTAGAATTTCCGAAACAGTTGACAAATCAACAGAGATTGCCAATGCCGCCAAGACGAGCTGTATTGAATTAAGAGGATTTCAGGTGCTTTTGTAAGCTGAGGTGTCTTCTACCTATGTAAATGCTGGGTGTATTCGTTTGTAAATATATATACTTTGTGTCTTTCTCCAGAATCTTTATTATTATTATTATTTTTCTATCTTCTATGTTTTATGTGATATTAATCATTGATTAAATAAACTTTTATATGCGTTCTGTTTGTTTTAAGTTGAAGGAGGATACTTAAACAAGCCAGCTAACTGACGTGTGTTTAAGTTGTCTTAACAGTAAGCGATCATTCTAAGCTAGTTTTAATTGGCTCGCCTCACTGCTTAGTGATATTTACTGTTAGCCGAAGTTGACTGAGTTAACAGTTCTCATTGTGTTACAGTTTAAGTCATTATTTGTATATAAGTTGTTGAATTGCAATTATGAGTGTATCCTTGAAGCAATAGACATGTTAAGACAACAATACTACTTATTTCCTTGGTGGGGGGGGGGAGATTGTATCCTTGGTCTATTGATTACTGCACAAACAACCGGATCATATTCTCATATTGAAAAAAATAATAAACGAAGTTCTGTCGATTGACCTTTATGCAATCACCCGGATACACAAATTGGGAGAGAGAGAGAGTTGAAAGACCGCCTTGGCTTCTCATCTGATTGACGGATAGATGTAGGGCTTTGCGCAGGAGTGGATTAGTTCAAGTTGCGGTGTATCGAGGGAGACAAAACAGAGGGAACATTATTCTCCACAGCATTGATAAGCGGGAGTATCTAAGTGATATTTCTGTTCCTCGAAGGTGATAAGGAGTAGTGATTAGGTCAATGGCATGTGACACAAATTTTCCATCAGCAACCACGAAAATGTGCTAATATAATATGGGATCGAATGCTTTGTGCTTATTTATACTAGGGTGTAGAAGAATTCGTAATAGTGATAATTTGCTTTATGTCAAAACAGTACTTACGATACAGTGTGGAATTTTCAGCGTTCGGTACAGCAATGCATCTAATTTACTCGACAACAGCAAAAACAAAAATAGATAAAATAATATTACAGGATTGATAATAGCAGTTTTTGGGTATTTGCAGTGACAGTAGAGTCAAAAATATACAAAAAGTGTAAAATAATGTTAGTAGCTAAATTATGTGAGTGTTTTGAAATAGTGTCACCATAGATTACAAATAGGAGAGAATAAAAAAGCCAAATATGGTATCGTTGAGTTTCTGTACTTGGTTGTACGAGCAGATATTCTTCTATAATGGCTGATAGTCCTACTTGATGAGATACAAGGAAGGGGAGAATTGAGAATAGAGAGGGTGTTTTGAGTCGAACAATGTCGATTTGGACCATTTCTCACATGAGTTCAGGTGTCTATCGACTATAATAGTTACAAGCTGACTAAGTGGCACAATTACTCGCCCTACTGACAACCTTTTATACCCTGCACAGTATGACATAGTCTTTTTTGAGTAGCCCAGAGAAGACTGAGGAGAAGCAGAAAAGTATAATAGGTAAGATGAATGAGTTAACAAAACTGTAAAAGTAGAAGTCTAGTGACTCTAGATTGTCTTAACTTCCTAATGTAGGAGGTGGATAGACGGAACATTTTCTTAGAAATCGACAAGATATGGGATGACCAAGGAAAGTCAGAGGATTGACTTATTCCAAGATATTTTATGACTGACTTAGTTTCTGTCTCAGTAACTAATTCAATTACTAAAAGCATCGTGTGAACAGACCAGTTCTTGTAGATCCCATTAATGCCTGAAGGTAAAGTTAATTTTCTGACATTCAGAGGAATTCAAGGTAAGGCCGTCTAGCTTGGACCATTGGCTGATATCTGATAAAAAGCTGTTAAGTTTTGGACAATCAAATTGGTACGTGAGTGGCAACGAGAAGGTCAGATCATCACCAGCGTATTTCACAAAGTTGATTTCATCCTGAAGAGGAGAGTCAAGTAAGAAGAGAGAAGAAAGAAAAGGACAGAGAACAGAACTCTGAAGGACTCCCACCTCAGTAAGTTGGCGAGGCAGAGGAAGATTCGCCTTTATGTACAGTATACAGCAGTGTGTTAGAGAGATAAAAATGCAACCAGTTGACAGCCCAGGACCCAGTTTGTGTCAGAGGAAACTTATTTGACAGAAGGCATCTAGGCACAGATTGAAAAGCAGGTGTGTAGTCAAGGAAGGTATATCGAACACATTCGGCCTATTTGTCTTAGGAGAAATAATGTTACGATATAAAAAATCAGTAGCACTATCTAGAGTACTTTTGCTGTGTTTGTAAGCAAACTATTTGGGTTTGTTAAGGCTTCCTTTACTTGCCAAGTAAGTGAGGTGGTCAACGTGCTCTACCACTTCACATCCTATTTCTAATCTAGGAGTCGGTTTAGTCCAATCCTGTAACATCATCTAACATTTGGCGGGAGCGAATCGCATGCCAAACATTTTTAGATGGCAGCTCAAGGCGTTCAGAAGACTCTGCATTTTGTCAGCGTCCTCGCCTAGAAGGAATATATCGTCTGCATATTCTAAGTCAACGAGATTATTCCCTGCTAGCAAGTCAATCCCTGAGTAGCTGAAGTGAGTTAGGGTTAATTCCATTAGTACATCTATGATGAAGTTGAATAGAAATGGAGATAATGGGCATCCTGGAGTAAAGTCGATCTTGTCTGAATTATGTAAAATCATTTATTGAGACCAGATTGTCATCATCAAATTCGTGAAGCCATATTTGTTGTAAAGTGATTATAGTTATACTGTGATAAGTACCAGAGGATAAGGGTGACTGAAGATGCAAAATCTTGTTGAGGAGAGAACGGCAGTTTGTACTGGTGATAAGAGGAACGGAAGTGGGATGTATAGGTGTGCGCGTTTTAGTGCAGGTTGCCATCCACTGTGATGCTTTTTCTTAGCTTTGTTAGAAACCTGAAAGTCACCTGGTCTTAAACATTTTAAAAATTCACGAGAGTAAATAATACTGTTCGACGCCCTACTTTGAGATATGCAGACAAATAAAACGCGATAAATTAGAGCCAATATATCGATGGAAGTTTAGGTAGCCCAACGTTGAAACAGGCCAACTCCATGTAAGCTATGAAACAGCCAGCAAGCAATGAACTAACTACATACGGCATAGTTACTCTCTTCTCTCCGTGTATTTCTTCAATAAATAAGTAACTGGGCGTTTGATATCTCAATTTGAACGAAATTAGTGGGTGTACCAGTACTCAGACTGCTAGAATGAACAGATTTATCGAAAAGCATAGGTTTGCCCTGAGTAATAGCATCTAGCAAGCCTACTACAGTGCTGAATTAAATCTCACTAATTCTGAACTAACTCTAACATTCTGCATCTGTTCTGAAATGGTGTGATCAAGCACACACAGATCAGAACTCAGTGCTGGTCTTCACCATGACTGGCACTAATTCAGCACACTGTTCTTTTCCCAGGCATTTTCAGGAGTAGATCAGAACCTGCTGGGTCTGCTTATCAGCGTTGTTTCAGTCTTCACACCACATATTCAGCATTGACTAGAATTACTTAAGAACGAAAAGACTGCTGGCACGATTCATTCAGTTTGCAGAAATAAATCAGTTCTTATGATTAGGAGAATTTTATATTTGGTACTTATAGCACAATATCACTGCATACCCGTCAAGTGAGGTCCACTGGTAGTATCCTGTTAATAAGCAAAATATGAGATTAGTTGAGGAAAAATTCTGTTCATCACACTTTAAGCATTAACATTGAGAAAAGTGTACTTACACAACTGCCACTGTTGCCTACCCCTAGTTTCTTTTTCATTTGTCCAGCTAGCGTTTCTTTCGGGCGCACAGACTAACGTGGGACAAGGCCCCTAAGCCTGCCCCGAACATTCTACAGTTCTCCCGAATTCTGCCCCAAATATCCTGCATAGCGCCCGTAATCGTTGATATTTGTACCTAGGGAAGCATAGGAATGAAATCAATTGGCCGGAGAACTGCGCCATAATTACAGTTACAGAAATAAGTACTTCATTAATGAACCTTACATTATTTTATAGAAGGCATAGGGCACAATGCTGGACTTTGTCAAAGTCCCCTGGAATGTAAGCTTCAAACCCACTTCAGGTTTTAGAACAAAGTGCATCATGACTTCAAGTGATAACTTCGGATCACTCTGAAGGTAGCCAACCATTTTTTATTCCTTTACATTCCCAGTGGAACATAGGGCTGATTCAAGCTAGAGGCTTGAAGTTTCGGTAGCAGTGGTGTTTATTTTTACCGGATGGGTTGCTAGCCTCATGCGCAATCTTCCCTCTTTACCAGTCTAATTACTGGCTTAGTGAGGTGAAGGAGTGCAGTCTACAAAAAATGAGGATTAAACACGCGAACTCACAGATATCCCCTTGTACTTTTCGTCTCTTAAAGATGCTTCCAGCTCCTCTAAATAATCTTCATTCTCACTCAGGAATTCTAGTGTGTAGTCACCGTGGACTGAAAGCTGAGTTCTCCCTCGAGATTTGCTGCTAGTACTAACAATGTTTGAGATTTTCGTACACAAGTTGATAATTTCTATTGAAGCATCTTTAAATGAATAATTATTTTTAAGTACTTACCGAGTAATTTCTAAAAATTCAGGGAATCAGAGAGAGCTTCGTTAGACGGCAATCTAAAGCAAGTGTATACTAAAGGTAACAATTATTCCAGCTGACCAGATACAGTTGTCGTCTTTTTGCCAACAGAAGATGGAGAATGGAAGTTTGAATTACTGGAAATGAAAACCGTTGAATCGTGTTAATACCTTGGAATTGGCGTTACTGAGTCATCGAATATGTTATAATCTGAATATTGTGGTCTGATGCAACCAACTTCGTTGGCAGCTGCATCAATATCTATGGAGTTGTAAAAAGAATCCTTGCCATTCTTCTTTGCATCCCTGAAAAATATGTGCGACAGAAAACGGTACCTACCTTTCCGGTCTGTTACTAGACATAGACAGGGTGTCATCGTTCGTGTCTACTTATTTTAGTGCTTTGACCACAGCTTCCCAAAAGCTCTAAAGACTTTTGACAGCTTTCATACGTATCTAGAAAGGTGACAATGGAAGTATTCCAAATTACCAAATTCCTGTAGTTGACAGAATTCAAATAATGACCATCCAGCTCCATTATA